TGACTCATTTAGAGAGGGAGAGAGACCACTGAAACTATGAAAACAGGATATAAAGGATGACTCAGATGATACAGTTAATAATAGATGCACAACCTAAAGTGTACGAAGTTTACCCGAATCAGTTTATAATCGGCTTGGTTATATTCCGTCAGACTTAAGCTCCCTGTGGAGTAGCAGTCCGCCTATCTGTGAAGCCTGTTCAGTCGCAGAACGATTTGCTTTCAACTAAGTTTTACATTAATTTTTGTAAGTCGATTCTTTTATCTTATTCTCTAGAGCTTTCAACGGGAACAAACAAAAAATAGAACTTTGTTTTGTAGCGAACATTAAACTCTTGTTTTAATTCCTCTGATTACCCAGTCAAAACTTTTGTCTTATTCTTGGCGATGCTTCAGATAATGACCTTGATTATTAATCGGACAATGACTCGGGGTCAGTTCCAACTGGTTCATAAATAAAATTGTGTTCAGTGAATGACCGAAGAAAACAAGTATGACGACAAACTTTGCTTTTGTGGATGAAATAATTTTAGCTTAGGTGTTTGGGAGGGGGGGGGGGGGAAGGGGGGGGGGGGTAAAGCCAGGTGTTATTCTCGTCAATTAAAATCAGTTAAAAAATTCATGAAGCATAAGCAGTCAGATTTATGTGCGCCTGTGGACGAAATACTGATTGAGAAAATAATCTACTGAAGCTAATTACTTGTGACAGAGAACACAATACACATATGACTAAAACTAATTCCGATTAGATCTAATTGCAATGGAAACGTTTAACAGTTTGATAAGGAATCTTAGCAATGGTGACATTGCACATGCGTCGTCTGTCTGGTGTGTCGTCTGTCTGTCTGTCTGTCGTCTGTCTACAGTGTCGCCTGTCTGGCGAGTTTAGCTAATTAACCACGTGACTTGCAGATGGAATGAAAAAAATTGGCGTGAGCAAGAACTTAATTAACGTCTGGCTCATTAATATTCATTGATTGCATCGGGTACAATTAAGTGCAGACAAGTTTGAGGTGAAGCTTGTCAACTGTGGTCTGACGGGGGTCATTTAATCTTTGATGAGACCGGCGGCTGGGTGGGTGAGGGTGTGTGGGTCGGGTGTGTGGGTCGTGTGTGTGGGTCGTGTGGGGTGTGTGGGTCGTTTGTGGTGTAGTGTGTGGGTTGTGTGGGGTAAGTGGGTCGTGTGGGGTGTGTGGGTCGTGTGGGGTGTGTGGGTCGTTTGTGGTGTAGTGTGTGGGGTGTGTGGGGTGTGTGGGTCGTGTGAGTGTAGAGTGTGGGTCGTGTGGGGTGTGTGGGGTGTAGTGTGTGGGTCGTGTGGGGTGTGTGGGGTGTAGTGTGTGGGTCGTGTGGGGTGTGTGGGTCGTTTGTGGTGTAGTGTGTGGGGTGTGTGGGGTGTGTGGGTCGTGTGAGTGTAGAGTGTGGGTCGTGTGGGGTGTGTGGGGTGTAGTGTGTGGGTCGTGTGGGGTGTGTGGGGTGTAGTGTGTGGGTTGTGTGGGGTAAGTGGGTCGTGTGGGGTGTGTGGGGTGTGTGGGTCGTGTGGGGTGTGTGGGTCGTTTGTGGTGTAGTGTGTGGGGTGTGTGGGGTGTGTGGGTCGTGTGAGTGTAGAGTGTGGGTCGTGTGGGGTGTGTGGGGTGTGTGGGTCGTGTGAGTGTAGAGTGTGGGTCGTGTGGGGTGTGTGGGTCCTGTAGAGTGGACAGTGTGTGTCCGCGTGTGTTATTGTGTGAGGGTTGCGGCGTAGCAACAAGTCGATGACATATGTCATGGCGAAATACTTTGTCATTCAAAGCTCACGAGGGCGTTCTTTTATCACCTGGATAATTGACAGCTTAAATGTCATGTCACGACCCATTTCTTCCAAATGTCATGTCCTGACCCAGTTTCTCCAATGACTCGATGAAACACCTCAACAAGAAAGTTGATCCAGTGGCCATCAAAATAGACAAACGGGAAAGGTTTGATGGGAAAAGGATTCGGGGTCTTAAAATTCCTCTTGCTAATGTCGTGCTAATGGATTTTGTATTAGCTTTAATGGGCCATTACATTTTTCTGGCATTCTTACAAATTTATCTGGACAATAGTTCACCATTTGCTGCATTGTGCAGCGGGGATTAAGTAGACGTCACGTGATCTGACTTCTCACCTGGTTGCCATAGCAACAGTGTACCCCGCATATGTAAACCAATGACAGTCTTCGTCAAACAAACAACAAAACACATCAACAAACTCTCCAGTTTCACAACCTTCCGCTTCTTACATTACACAACTTTTCTAATCAACTGTTTATTTTAATTTAAGTAAAGCAATTTAATTATCTTAAGATCGTTTTCGATAATTACAAACGTAATTGGCGTGTCAAATGATTCATTATGTTCTTCTTAATAAAGTTTTAAAAATATGTAAAACAGGTACGAAGCTTAAAAAAATACTGAAAAAAAGTTTTTTTTTTAAATTGTGAAACTAATCATACGCGATCATTCACATCACACACGATCACACAACTATTGTTACACCATTCACATCACACACCATTACACAACTCAGTTACACCATTCACACACCACACTGAAGTACAATAGTTGTCATCACCACAAGCTCCTGTTTAAAACAAGTTAATTAAAAAGTCTAGTGACAATTTTAGCGCAATTTCCTTATGTTATCTAAAAATAGCTCTGTCGTAGCGTAAATCAAGAGCAGGGTTAGTAAAACCATTGGTTAGTTGAACTTGATTATCAACATGATAATCATTAAGATGATAGATCTCTACTTCCGGCATGTATATACAACCACACCACACGCGTCATCACGTTCAATAGATGCGTCATCGCGTTCCATGGCTGCGCCTTCACGTTCAGTAGGCGCGCAAGTTAATTAAAAAGTCTAGTGACATTTATGCGCAATTTCCTTATGTTATCTAAAAATAGCTCTGACGTATAATGATGGGGTGCGTTCAAGCTAGAAGAGCGATCGGTTTGTAGGTGTTTATGTAATTTTAAAATTTGTGACCGAACGAGAGGATATTTTTGAAAACTTTCTTCGGCAATATTGTTCTAAATTATGGCAGGAATCGATTGGTACATGTTTCAAGTCGCTAAGTGGTCTGGTTGCCGAGATATGGGCCAAAAACTGCATTTTTTCGAGGTTTTTTGGCTTTTACGGGAAATACATGAAAGAAACCCGGAATTTTTATAGCCTATGCTCATTCTCGTAACTTGCTTAACATAATTGCTTTTGGAACTAGTCATCGATATTGCTTCGTTGAGGAGGAGATACGACTTAAAGCCCGGACACACATTCATCCATCCATCCATCCATTCCCAGAAATGACGAGTTAATAAACGCAATTCTCCAGAATGGAAATTGCGCTAAAAACACTTAGTATTTGTTTCCGTTTTAAAAAAAATGAAGTTCTAGTTTTTACGCGGTGTCAGATTTGAATTCTGTTGTTCAATTCTGCGGATCATATTTAACGTTAGGGACATTTTATATCTGGGTCAACAACGCGGGTCGAGAAATCACGTGACCAACACGTGATCTGGTTTGACCAATCAAAAGTCATGACTCGACATTAGCAGTCAGTTGTGACTACCGTCAGGGGTGACGTGTAGCAGGCGATCAGACAGGTGTAGGTCCAGGCGAGAGTAGGTCCTGTTCGGTCCTGTTAGGTCCTGTTAGGTCCTGACCATGTACTCACCAGGTTGTTCAGCCAGTCACAAGACACCAAACTCTCGTAGGTCTATCTAACTAGATCTTCAGAATCTGGAATCACCCCCCCCCCCCCCACACACACACACACCCACCGCCCCTAGCGTCACCCCTCGCCCCTCCCTGGTCACCATGGTCGATGATATTAAAGAAATAGACGACGTGATCGACCTTAAACTAATATCTTCTAACATTTTAAATGTCATTCTATTCTAAATTCCATGTCATTCTATCCTAAATCTCATGTTATTCTATACTAAATCTCATGTCATTATATCCTAAATCACACATCATTCTATCCTAAATCTCATGTCATTCTATATTCTAAATCTCATGACATTCTATCCTAAATCCCTCCCAAAGATGTTTTATTTGAATATGACCTACATCATGACCTAAGATGTATTATTTGAATATGACCTATACCATGACCTAAGATGTATTATTTGAATATGACCTACACCATGACCTAAGATGTATTATTTGAATATGACCTATACCATGAACTAAGATGTATTATTTGAATATGACCTACACCATGACCTAAGATGTATTATTTGAATATGACCTATACCATGACCTAAGATGTATTATTTGAATATGACCTATACCATGACCTAAGATGTTTTATTTGAATATGACCTACAACATGACCTAAGATGTTTTATTTAAATATGACCTATACCATGACCTAAGATGTTTTATTTGAATATGACCTATACCATGACCTAAGATGTATTATTTGAATATGACCTACACCATGACCTAAGATGTATTATTTGAATATGACCTATACCATGACCTAAGATGTATTATTTGAATATGACCTATATCATGACCTAAGATGTATTATTTGAATATGACCTACACCATGACCTAAGATGTATTATTTGAATATGACCTACACCATGACCTAAGAAGTGCTTTCTGAATGATACGTACATTAACGACCTAAAGTTCACTAGTTGAATGAAAACTAAAAACAATGACCTAACATACACTTGTTGAATTAGACCTACATTAATGACCTAAGATTAATTATGTACATAAAATCTAAACAATGACGTAACATGCACTATTTGAATGAGACCCATCCCCTGACCTAATATGAATTTTTTAATGTGACCTACACTAAAGACCTAACATTCATTATTTGAATGAGACCTACCCCATGACCTAACATGTACTTTTTAATATGACCTACACTAAAGACCTAACATTCATTATTTGAATGAGACCTACCCCATGACCTAACATTCACCACGTGACTGACGTAACCCAAATCTGACCCCTCCCCAGAGCGTCATCTTCCACGTGGAGACCCACCCCACGTTCCGCTGGTTCCAGCAGTGTGTGACCTTCAACTTCTTCCCGTCTGCTGAGCACGAAATGGCCTACAACCTGTTCAGCATCATCGCTCTCTACGGGCTACCATTGGCTGTCATCACTTCCGCTTATTGCGTCATCTTGTTCAGGATTTCCAAGAAATCTAAACAAAGCAAAGGTAAGCTCCGGGTTTAGCTCCGGCTTAAGCTCAAATTGTCTGGGTAATGTTTCTTAACATTGTGTTAAGCGCATTACACCAGATAATCCAAACGACACTTTGTCGTGTCTTTTGCCAGTAAACAAAAAAATTTCAGACGAAATTTTTTTGGAATCCAAAAAATAAACAAAAGTTTTTTTTAGATATCTCAAGAAGCAAATAAAAAAACGCAAAATTTGGCCCCGTGAATATGGAACATCGAAACTTGGCCAAAAGCACTTTTACAAACTTTGAGGTGGGGAAAGATGGAGAATATTTTCCAGGCCGATTTTAAAACAAGCGTCAGTTTTGGAAACTATTAAAAATTGTTATTGGTCATAAAAAGGTTATCAAGGATTTCATTACTTTAACCACGCTTCGTTAAGCTTCTCGTTAAAGCTTTCTAGATAGGAGACACAAGGGGGAGGGGGGATAACTGAAAGGGTAGGCAGATAAGGGTAGATAATTCGGTCACATTTGATGAAATGTTTCCAGATTTTTCAACTAAATGAGTTAAAAAAACCACCTTTAGGCGCCGTGTGTACTGCATAGAGACAAACCTCTAACACACATCATTAATCTCTAATTAAGTATGCATTAATTAATTAAAGATTTCACCTCAAACATCGCAGCCTTTTTGTAAGCATTCACTATCAGCTACTATTAACTTGTCCAGTTTTATCTAGTCTAAATGTAGTCATAACGACAAGCACATCCTAACACTATCTAACCCTAGCATTAGCAAGCACTACTGTCTCTAGCAACAGATATCTATGACGCAAATCTAACTGACCTTTGAAAGGTTGACCTTTTTATGCCCTTATCAAATTGCCCACTACAAGTATTGTAATGAACAACAAAGTGTGATGGAACTTTATACCAATCTCCCTCCTCATTGCCCTACGATACATCAATAGAAAGCGATACTCCCCAAAATATAAACCGATCCTACAGAACTCGATACCGTCCACAGATGAGATGACTGTCCAGACGTACCACTGCGGGGACCACCAGCGGGCCGGACTACGGCGGTCCGGTGTGGGCAACATCGAGCGGGCCAAGTCCAGGACGCTCAAGATGACGCTGGTCATTGGTGAGTGTCACGTGATTGGTTCTGACCTTGAACGTCAGCACGAGACTTCTAAAAATAACATCTCGGTCATGGCTGACAATTTAATAGAAATTGAAGATAATTTTTATTTTAAATTAAAACTAATTTAAAACCTACAGATTGAATATCTTTATTGTGTAAAGAGTCTGTTTCGTTTAGAATCTTAAAAATTTTATTCCACAGTTGGGGCTTACGTCATGTGTTGGACGCCATACTTTGTCATCTCAGCCTGGTACTATTTCGACAGGTAAAAGTTGATGTCGTCTGCTTCGGTGGTGTCGTCTGCTTCGGTGGTGTCCCTTACAACTGGTTTGGTGGTGTCACTTACAACTGGTTTGGTGGTGTCTTTTAAAACTGGTTTGGTGGTGTCCCTTACAACTTGTTTGGTGGTGTCCCTTACAACTGGTTTTGTTATAGGTCATCTTTCTATTAATGCATGATATTCCTCTCAGCCTGACTGATGATAACACGGGTATCAGGGTTTAGTTCTTTTAATTTCGTGGTGAAAGTTATCTTTCTGCCTATAAAACAGGGGCATAAGCTAATATACTGATGTACACTTGCTATTGTGAGTTTTGGTATAAAGGACCTTAGGAATAAACTATCTTTAGTATGAATTGATATTGGGTACAACAAGACCTTAGCTAGGAAGGTCCCCCTATAGTTTGAAGTGACCATTGGGATCAAGCGACCTTTGATGAAAGACGTCTGGTATACAACGTCTTAAGAGAGAAATCTTCATCAGTAATTGTTTGTTTTCTCCTTAAATAAACAAAACGACTTTTAACAGACTGGGATTTATTTCCTGTAGGATGACCGAGTTTATTTTTGTCCTCAGGAGATCAGCTATGAAGATAGACGCCAAAGTTCAGCGTGGCTTGTTTATATTTGCCGTCTCCAATTCCTGCATTAACCCTATTGTATACGGTAAGTCGCCTCCCTTATTGTCACAGTTGTCTACCTTGTCTCGTGAACTTTTGCCTGAGGGATGATGGGAATTTTCCCACATGGAATTCCCAGAATAATAATTGACGTAATTGTGAAACAGCTTAATTAAAGCTACAAAGGTTGTTTTTTTAAAGAAGAATTGAGGTAAGTAGAACGGGCAAACATTTGATCTAAATGTGGTTTTTAGACGAATTGAAATAAGTAAAACCACCAAAGCTGACATTGACCAACCGGTTCTAACAGAAAAAGGCACAAAATCCGGGACTCATGTTAGACGTAGGAAGCTGTAATCAAGGATTTAACGTAAGTGGACGAGGTTCTAGCCGCGTTAGCTCGCAGACACGTTGGAGGTTATTTTTAAAGCAGAAAAAATGTGCGCCAAATTGATAGGATTTGTGGCGTTGTAAATGTATCAGTCACACGCACACGGCACACATACACACACACACACAAACACACACACATACATACATTAAGCTTGCGTAAACTTACAACTCTGTGATATTGACAATTTCCAGCAAACTATTGTATTGTGAAAGCTTCCCCCAAAGTATTCTGTTGGTGAAATGTAAACGAAGTTAACAACTTCAAGCCGTCGATTTTTTGTTTTATTTTTAGAGTTGTGTCGTGAACAAGCCAAAGTGAACATGCCTGATCCACCCCTCCCCTTTCTTACCTGCTAAACTGTCAACGCTTTTTGCCGTTCAGACAGTCAATGTTCGTTAAAAAAACGAACATTTTAAAAATACTAAAAACATGAATTCCTTTGGCCTGCTCATTCCATTGGCCTGTTAGTTGTATTTCATGTTTGTCCACGTGACCTCTAGCGTTTCCCATCATTCTCTACTTCACAGGCATGTTCACTGCGGCCTTCCGGCGGGAAACTAAACGCTGGCGCTCGTGGATCAAGAACCGGTTCATGTACAAGAGGGCCCGGCTCTTCGCCGCTCAGTCCGTCTTCAGGATGTAGTCAAATCTGGGGCTTCGTGCAAGCCAAATCTGGGGCTTGGAACTTGACAAATCTGGGGCTTGGAGCTTGCCAAATCTGGGGCTTGGAACTTGCCAAATCTGGGGCTTGGAACTTGCCAAATCTGGGGCTTGGAGCTTGCCAAATCTGGGGCTTGGAGCTTGCCAAATCTGGGGCTTGGAACTTGCCAAATCTGGGGCTTGGAACTTGCCAAATCTGGGGCTTGGAACTTGCCAAATCTGGGGCTTGGAGCTTGCCAAATCTGGGGCTTGGAACTTGCCAAATCTGGGGCTTGGAGCTTGCCAAATCTGGGGCTTGAAGCTTGCCAAATCTGGGGCTTGGGGGATTGCCGCTCCGTCAGTCTTCAGGATGTAGCCAAATCTGGGGCTTCGTGCAAGCCAAATCTGGGGCTTGGAGATTGCCAAATCTGGGGCTTCGTGCAAGCCAAATCTGGGGCTTGAAGCTTGCCAAATCTGGGGCTTGGAACTTGCCAAATCTGAGGCTTGGAACTCGCCAAATCTGGGGCTTGGAACTCGCCAAATCTGGGGCTTGGAACTCGCCAAATCTGGGGCTTGGAACTCGCCAAATCTGGGGCTTGGAACTCGCCAAATCTGGGGCTTGGAACTTGCCGCTCTGTCATTATACGGGTAGCAAAGTCTGAGGCTTCAAGCTGGCGTCTACTAAGTCTTCAGAATGTGTCAAGTTTGTGGCTTCAAGTTTGTCGCCTAGTCTATCTCAGGATATGTCAAGTTTGTGGCTTCAAGTTTGTCGCCTAGTCTATCTCAGGATATGTCAAGTTTGTGGCTTCAAGTTTGTCGCCTAGTCTATCTCAGGATATGTCAAGTTTGTGGCTTCAAGTTTGTCGCCTAGTCTATCTCAGGATGTGCTTAGTCTCAGCGTTCCATCCACATAACTACAGATGTTTTGGCTCTGCCTTCGTTTCATAATGAATTCAGCATTGAACGTTTCCATCAGACTTAAGTTTATTGATGCTTCCGAGTTCTAGTTCAGTTTTAATTCAGTCAGTGGGAAGTGTAAACTTATAAAAAAAAAATTCATAAAAAACGTTTTAATAACAAGCTTTTATGTAATGATGCACTAAAAAGTAGAAAATAAATTATAGACTACTATTTAAATAACTATAAAGAAAAGCGTGGGTCACTTTAGTATCTATTGGATACCTTTACTAATGTTAAGGAAGACACCCACGCTTTTCTTTATAGTTATTTAAATAGTAGTCTATAATTTATTTTCTACTTTTTAGTGCATCATTACATAAAAGCTTGTTATTAAAACGTTTTTTATGAATTTTTTTTTCAGTACTTTACATGTTTTATTTACAACAGAGTTACATGACTAAAAACCATTGCGCACCTACTGAACATCACGTTCAGTAGGCGCGCAATGGTTTTTGAACGCAGCCATTACGTGATGGCGCAGCTATTGAAGGTGATGACGCGTGTGGTGTGGTTGGCTAGACATGCCTACTAATTCGGTCCAAATTTTTATTAATTCATAAAAAATTAATTAGGCATCCAATTAAGTCAAATTTAGATTCAGATTGCATTGTCTTCATGTCTTGACCCACGTGCCAACTGTGAATCGTATCGGTCAAGTAGAACTGTCCGAATTTTCACTCCTGCGTTTCCGTCAAGACAGACAGAGGAAGTGAGTTAAATAAAAGCTTGTAAAAATAGAATGTTCTAAGTCAGGGATCCAGCGTTTTATAAAGACTCGGAAATTGTACTTTCCGACTGTCACTAAGAGATCTGAACTTCTCATAGACTTGTGCTGATTCCCATTTTCTGTGGCGACCTACAGTCACACCTCACACCACAAACGTGATGGACGCAGTCTCTTCCTACGTGACTTTACTTACAAACGTCGCTATTTATTGAATTAGTTATCAAGAAACCTTATCTAGTATGTAAATTCATACATTCCTATAGTATCGATACATTTCTACAGTATCGTTACATTCCTACACGATCGATAAATTTTACAGTATCGATACACCTCACGATGTAAGGAAATGTAATCGATGTTTCCAAAATTATTTCGGCGCTTCCGTCTTCAAAAGGCGCGTCTACTCTGTTTCTTTCGGCGTTACTTACACTCCATGATCAGTGCTGTCATTCAGTCGCTGTCAGTCAATGCCTAACATGATGTCAGATGAACGAAACAACAGCCTTTTGACGTCAGTCTGATGATGACAGCAAGACCCCACCATGTCAGCTGAGCTAAGAAATTAATGGCTAGAAACATGATCTAGATCGTGACTGACATTAACACTGACATTCGAGTTGTCGGCCTTTTTTTTTAAAATTAAATCTATCTGACATTCACACAAAAATGTGTTGTAAATAAAGCTCATCTGCGCTGTATTCTACAGCTGGTTTTAATGCTCACTAATGGAAAAAAAGAAGACAGTCGTTTTAATGTTAAAATTAATTCTTTCATTTGTTAAACTCGGTTGTGTCGCAAATAATTCAAATCCAACGAACATTTTTTTTATCTTGAGGTGAATTTGTATTTGCAGCAAAAAAATTTACCAGAATTTATCGGAAATGTACCCTTTTAAAAAAAATATCTCCCAATATGACAAGTCTGGGAATATTTGGCCAGATATACCTCAAGACAAACTAAAAACTACGCACGTGTTTTGTGTGTGTGAAATGTTATAAAAATGATCGGAACAAATAACCGAATTGTTGAGAAGAAAAATGTAAAAATGTTGAACTGTGTGGCCTAAACTCGCCCACACGATCTGTCTTTTCTTTCAAAATATTTCAATGCTTTACACGATTTTTGTATTTATATTCAATTTAATATAAAAACTTTTACACCGTTTTTTGTGTTCCTTTGTTTTTGCACAAAATCAGATTTGTAATATTATAACTTGTATACGACTTAATTACTACTAATCACCACTCGCCAAGTCAGCAGTAGCCATAGTCAAACTGGCTAAAGTCACCAGTAGCCATAGTAAAACTGGCTAAAGTCACCAGTAGCCATAGTAAAACTGGCTAAAGTCACCAGTAGCCATACTCAAACTGGCTAAAGTCACCAGTAGCCATAGTAAAACTGGCTAAAGTCACCAGTAGCCATAGTTAAACTAGCTAAGTCACCAGTAGCCATAGTTAAACTAGCTAAAGTCACTAGAAGCCATAGTTAAACTAGCTAAAGTCACCAGTAGCCATAGTTAAACTAGCTAAAGTCACTAGAAGCCATAGTTAAACTAGCTAAAGTCACTAGAAGCCATAGTTAAACTAGCTAAAGTCACTAGAAGCCATAGTTAAACTAGCTAAAGTCACTAGAAGCCATAGTTAAACTAGCTAAAGTCACTAGAAGCCATAGTTAAACTAGCTAAAGTCACTAGAAGCCATAGTTAAACTAGCTAAAGTCACTAGAAGCCATAGTTAAACTAGCTAAGTCACCAGTAACCATAGTAAAACTGGCCAAAGTCATCAGGTCAAACTGTGGCTAAAGTCACCCCACAAGGTCTCACCTCCATTCACCCATCCCATGATGTGTGTAGGTTGGATGGCTCCACAAATCAGAAAAATCTGGATCTACTGACGACACTCCCACGTCATCAGCTAGCCAATCTACTTTCATCTAATCTTAAAGAGATGGAGACTTGTTTAATTTTCCTACGCCCTTCAGTGATTAAATCTAACCAGCATTTCCTCACCCTCATCATCTATCCTGTTGTTAAATTCTAAATTTCGATGGATGGTCTAAATATATCCGTCTTTATGTAATGGAAAATGACCTAATTAAAAACTAAATTATGATAACGAGTGCTATCCAATGAAGATAGAAAAAAAGCTGTCTGTTGATATAAAGATTTTTTTTTAAAATGTTAATTGTATTTAAGACGTGTGGGTAAATGGAATTTTGTCTGCAGGCTCTAATTTACACATAATTGTGTTATTAACGGATTTGATCAGAAATTTGAATTTTATTTTAAATTAGACACGTTTTTAAAACGATGTTAAACCTCCACAAT